ATATGGGATGTGTGTGTGTGTGTGTGTGTGTGTGTGTGTGTGTGTGTGTGTATGTGTGTATATATGTGTGGTATATATCTATATCTATATATAGTGGTTGATAGTAAAAAATAAACCATGGGACATTTTCCTACATTTAAGTTATTTTTCCAAATGTTTATGGAGCACCAATAAGTGCCAAGCAGTGTTCTAGATGATTGACATACATCAATGAACAAAACAAAGACCACTTCTCTCTTGAAGCTTATATTCTGACAGATGGAGACAAATAAACATATTTATTCTATCAAACATGCAGTTTGTTTGAAGGCAATAAACACTATCAAAAGAGAAGCACTGTGAGAAAATGGGTTGACAATGCTCAGATGTCACTTTCACAACAAGGACTACCCTCACTTGCCTCAGAGATCCATTGATTAATCTTTATCTCCAAGTCTTCACAGAATTAATAAGGAGTTCCAAGCAGAGGAGACAGCTATGGCAAGAATCTAGGGTGGGAATGTGCCTGGTGTGTTCAAAGCACAGCAAAGAGGTCAACGTGGGTAAGGTAGAATGAGAGAAGGGGCAAGTAGCAGAAGAGGTTAGAGAAATAATGGGGACCCAGTCACGCAGGCTTGTGTAGCCCATTATATATTATGGCTTTTATTGAGAGTAAAAAAAGATGCAGGTTCTTTATTGGAAATTTGTAATATGCCTCTTCAAGAAGGTAGAAGTTGTTAAAAAAAAAAAGTCTTGATGAGTCTACTGATTGTGTGGATGGCCCCTCCCATCTTTTGCTCTTGAGAGTAGCTTCCACTGACAAGATACTAGTTTCCTACTTCATGGAAGGAAGCTAGGCAGGAGTTCCCAGAGTGGCACGCAGGCAAACCTTTCCAGACAAAGAGTATGTCTGTGGACAAAAGTATTTCAAGGCTGTGTTTCTCCCCTAGAATCGGTAGTCGCCCACCCAGTCTCAGTGGGTCGTTCATTACCTCAGTTGTACCTCCATGAGTCTGCCGAGACTGAGGATTACTCATGAGCAAAGCAGCACACATACTTACCACTCTCACTCCGTATCTTTGTCTTTTGCGCTGTCAGGTCATTTGCCAACTGAGTCACCTCATCCAGCTTTGCATTTGCTTCATTCAAGCGCTCTTCATACAGACTGCAGTGTTTCTCAGCACTTGCCTATGAGGTGAGAAAAAAGGGTTGGTCATGGCTCATAGAGGCTATGCTGAATTCTCTTCTCAAGGAAGGAGGAGATGAACCACGTGCTCTCTCCTTCAGTAAAGATCACAGCCAATATTGAGAGATCATGTCTTTTTTTTTTTTTTTTTTGAGTTGGAGTCTCACTCTGTCATCCAGGCTAGAGTGCAGTAGCATGCTCTTGGCCACCCAGCACTGACCTGCTGGGTACCAGCGATCCTTCCAAGTAGCCAGAACTACAGGAAAGCACTACCATGCCCGGCTAATTTTTTTTTATTTATTATAGAGATGAGGTCTTGCCAAGGTGCCCAGGCTGGTCTCGAACCCGTGGGTTCAGGCAATCCACTTGCCTCGGCCTCCCAAAATGCTGGGATTACAGACTGAGCCACTGTATTCTAATTGTCTTCTAATTTAAGCAAGTAAAACCAGCACTAGGGTCTGGGCCCCTAAGAGGCCTAAACTTTACAGACTATAAGTGTCAGTGGAGCAGCTTAACTCACTGGGTATGAGCGTCCTCTCTAGAATTCTTTGATCTTCTGGAGACAAAAACATGTCAAACACTACTAAAGTGCATGATTATTCTCTGACATTCTATATTTAACTGTCTTTATCTTCCATTAGAATATGTTTCATAGGAGTAGAGATTATTCTTGATTACAGATTACCCTGCCCCCCAATGTCTAGAATAGTGCCTAGCACATACTAGGAGATCAACAAACAAGGGAAGAGAGGCAGAAGAAAGGGGGGGAAAGAAGAAGGAGAGGGAGAAAGAAGAAACGATGGGAGAAAAAGGATGCATCTGATGGGCAATTGTTTAACAAAATGTGAGCTGTCAAAGCAACAGCACCCTCCTGATCACTATGTCTGCAGGTTCAACATAATCCTGTTGGGATAATACTTCAATTCCAAGCTCCAACTTCTCAGAGTTGGCTTTCTTCATGCTTGAAGAAAAAGACATGGTGTTAACCTTTGTGCTTCTACCTGATTCAGATAACCAATCTAATCATCAGACTTTTGCCACACTCTGGTAACTCATACTAGTGGTTTTGAGTTTCAAGATTCTCAAACGTGTCTAAAAGCTGCCAAATGTAAGATAAAGTGTCTCCTTTACCTAGAAGCTAGCTGTAGTTTGCATTCTTATTATTCAGAAATGGTGGACATTACATTGGTGGATTTCCATGGGTCCATAGATTTCACATAGCTGTTTTTGTGAAACTCATCTATAATCAATCTTAGCATGCCTTCCATCTGCTCCACCATTGATGGTGATAATACTGATAATAGTAACAATAGCAGCAGTTAGCATTTATTGGATGCTTCTTACATAACTAGCTCTCTTCTACACTCTTTGTTTGTATTAAATCTCAATTTCTACAAGAGCCCATGAGGTCTTTGTCTCTCCTAAGATAGTACGTTTTGGAAATGGAAGAATAAGGAGATAAAGAAGGGATTATACCAATAGTATTTTAACAAAACAATGAGACCTAGTGAAATAATGAAATCTGGCAGTGAGTGCAATCGTTTCAATGTTAACCTAATTGCCAAGATAAAGCAACGGTCAAAGACAAGGAATGTTTAAAAGGTGATGCCAGGTTTAGTCCTTTGGAAAATTTCTGAATTAGCAAAGAACTTGGCCATCTCTAATTGGAGCCTGTAGTCTGTTGAAGGTTGTTTTCCTCAAGTTTTCTAGTCACTATTCTAAATTCCCTATGAAAAACTATAAAATATGTCTTCTATCTCCAATGCAACTCTGAACACACAATAAGCACTTAATAAATGCCTAAGACTCTTAAAACATTGCAGACTTTAGTGAGAGGTTGGAAAACCTACTCACTGAAGTTTAACTGAGGGACATTCAAGCTTTCCTTTTAAGAACTGACCTCCAGATTTGTTTGTTAGCATGATCAGGATATTATTACCCACTGATTAGCAAACAAGTAGAGGATCAATTCGGACACGTGCCCATTCGGAGGCTGACAAGGAATGCCATGTAGTTCCAGCTCACAGATGTCCTACTGTATACCCAGGCTTGGTGGCGGTTGAGAAACTAGACCTGGCAGAGATTTAGTGACCTACTTCTCACGCAACGCCATCAGTCTCACTTAGTCTACAGCATTAATGTTAAATGTCAGGCATGCTCAATTATCCACACTCTCACTCACAACTAGAAGAAACTCACTATAGTACTGATCAGTAGAATAGGCTTTAGACTTCTTGCACAGTTTCTAATCATATGTTGAATGTTGAATATTCTTGCTCTCACTTCTGAAAGTGACTTTGACAGTTGGCACACTCATATTTTTCCTCACAATATCCCTACACAGTTCAGGTTGGCTCTTTTATACATGAGCAAACTGAGCATCAGAGAGGTTAAATAACTAGCCCAAATTCACATAGCTGGTAAGTGTCAGAACTGAAATTTGAATGAAAACTTCCTGTACAGTTGCACACACACAACAAAATCAAATATTAAATCTGTACGCATCTGTTGTATGAAGCAGAGATAACAAAGGAACTGTTAAAGATTACTTGACTTGGTGTCCTAGTTGGCCCAAATTTTCTTGAATCCTGGGTCCTGGAGGAAAATGGATAAAAAATATGATGACTATAAGAACCATCTTTATGATGTCTCCAATAATAAATGACCCATTAACTGAGCCAGGAGGAACATATCCAGGTGTGAGAAATGGCACTTCTGTTTATGGCCTTGAATATGTTATGCTATGCACTTGTTTGCTGAGGGTGAAAAAGCACAGATCTTATAAGACAACTGAGTCAATGGTGTGTGGAAATGGCAAGAAAAAGAGCCAGAGACTCTCCAGTTTTCAAGAGAGGACCACGTGGGGAAGGCCAGCTGGGCCGTGCATATCTGTAGAGTGAGAAGCCCACCTGGGCAGATGGAAAATGTGCTTGAAGGCATAGCTTCACATGGTAGGTATCCACAGGCATTGCTAACCACTGCAACAGTGTTTGTAATGTCTAAGATATTTTCATAACCAGGATCTGCAAAAGACAATGAGGTTGCTTATTTAAGAGGGTCTGTGCCAGTATATAACATGCAAAAGTGTTGCTCCTTAAAAAAGACTTCTAATTGAAGCATGTGGATAAACAGTAGATTTTCATACCAGGGAAGAAGAGGTTAATGAAATAATGCACATTTGTCTCATAACTGATTCTTAAAATGATGCATAAAAATGTTGCCTCCCAGAAATGCAGGGACCAATGGGAATTCAAAATAATCAAGATAATTGTGAGATTTCCTATAACTTCTAAATTGCCCTGGGCCTCTCTGTCAGCATAATATGCTTTTGAAAACACTTTAGTTTCCACTGTACCACTGAGCATTGGCATTCTTCGCATTAAAATTCAGAAAAAGGTGAAGTAAACAAATTCAAGGAAAAGTTCAGTATAAAGTATATGCCTATGAGATAGTGAACAGAAACAATATATCTTGCCAACAAATATTTAAGGCAGTGGCATGTGGCCACCCAAGACATACATACATAGGATTTGGAGTTGAGGCCCATGTCATTCATAGGATTGTGTGACCTTGGACTAGTCACCGACTCTACAAGCCATGAGAAAGGCATTCATAAAAGTTGATGCTCGTAATTGAGTGTACAGATTGTACAAAGCACTATAGTAAACACAAATAAAAAGAGACCTTGTTTCTGCCTTAGAAATATTTTCTGTTTAAGCCAAGTCAAAAGAGTAGATAATGCAACCATTCAAAAGGGACCTCAAAAGTGCTACAAGAATTCAGAAACAGGTAAAATTTTAATATGAGAGATTAAACTTGAGCATCCCAGAAAGAAGAATTAGTTTGGAAAAGGCACGTTGGTGGAGAAATTGATTTTGGTGGAAGGCCAGCATTTTAACCTGGCAGAAATAGAAGGTCCATGAAACAAAGTAATGGAATCTGGGAAGCTGGCAAGGCAGATTGAACCTGATCACAGGTCACAGGGTACCTGGAAGCAGAAGCTTGTAGTTCATTTTTAAGCAAGGACATAATTCCATAAAGTTATGTATAAGAAATGTGAATCTAGGTACTATATAGGATAGATTGGAAAAAAGAGAAACTAGGAGCAAAAATGATAACCAAGGAAACCACTACAGAATCCAGTTAAAAATAATGACAGACCTAGATGGGAAAGGGAATGGAATGGGAATGAAAAGCTGTAAGACAGTAAAGATTGACCTGCTGCAATAATTGATTGGAAATCAAAGAAAAGGAGATAAAATGAGTAAATGAAGCTTAGAACTTGAGTGATGGGAAGAACCAGGTGCCAGTGACAGAAATGCTCAGTGGAAATGCCAGCTTCAGGAGAAAGTGGTCAGTTTGGCTCTAGATATGCCAACTTGGGTAAAGGATGACATTACTGATCTTTTGTAAAACAATTTAAGAAAATTCTTTCAAGAAAAACAAGAGGGCAACCCCCTCAGGTCCCCTCCCACTGTGGGAGCTTTTCTGTCCTCTCAATAAATCCTGCTTGAAAGAAAGAAGGAAAGAAAGAAAGAAAGAAAGAAAGAAAGAAAGAAAGAAAGAAAGAAAGAAAGAAAGAAAGAAAGAAAGAAAGAAAGAAAGAAAGAAGCAAAGCAGGAGACATAGATTGCAGGGATTAAAGAAGTAAGAGGGTTATGAGGTACACATCTACTTGTGAGAAATAGTCTCTAAAGATGTCCCCTTAATGTGTCATGCCCTCTGGTATTCACACCCTGACCCTATGACCCGCAGCTCACAGGAGTTTCACAGTGTCACTCCACAGTATCGTAAGTCTAAGTTACAAGAATCTTTGCCACTTCTGCCTTGGTCTCTTGGAGCGCTTGCTCTTGGTACCCTGAATTGCCATGTAAGAAGTTCAGCTCCTCTGTGGCTGCCATGCTGTAAAGAAGCCCATGCTAACCACGTGGAGAGGTGTCATGAAGAGAGATTTCCAACCGATCCCAGCTGTTCCAGCTATCCCAACCCAGGAGACAGACATGTAAGTGAAGAAAACTTCAGAAGACTCCCAGCTCAGGCACCAGCTGACGACAACCATATGAGCTGACCTTGTCAATCCCCAGAACCAAGAGAGAAAAGAATATATTTTTATTTTAGGTGATAAGGTTCTTGGGTGATTTATTATACAGAAAGAGATGAATGGAAATACTCTCTTGTCCAAGAGACAAATAAAAGACAGATATGAACAAACTTTGCTCTCCTCTCAAGACATCATCTCTAGTGTCTGAGGAAAAGTCTTTATGCAGACTTGTTTTTGTTTTCTAAAATGGGTGAAGAATGTTTATGTGGAAGAATATTTTATTGGGGGATGAGAAGAAAAGAAAGGAATATGTAAAAAGACAAAATGAATAAGGTGAAGAGAGAAATTATACTAAATGGTCTTAATCTTATTAGGTACTATTAATTGAAAGGAAGAATTCAGGGAGGCAGAGTTAGAATCTGAGGAAAAATTTTATATAAAATAAAACAGAGAGTGAATTAGAAGAATAAAGAACTTCTGAGCAGCAATGAAAGCCTAGAAGAAGTTAGGAAGTAGGGAATTTTCGCTAATTAGCATGAATTTATGATGAGGCTATGAAGTTTTAGGACTTTGTGACTGCTATTAAAATGTACAAAAACAGAAGAGTTCCTGAGGATGAATGGGAGGTACAGTAGAGGATAGTGAGAGTAAGAACTTCCAGGGCCTTACTTGGGCTGAGGAAGGATACAAATGAAGCCTACAGGGCATGAAGTCTGTGTCCAATAATGAGACCAAAAAAACAAAAACCCCAGAAAATGCTGAATACAGACAAGATGACAAGATACAGAAGAAAGAGAAGACTTAGTTCCTCGCTAGATTTATATTATAAGCTAATTGGGTAGAATGGGGCAAGATGCTATGGTCTCAAATCCATATGTTGAAACTTAATCAGAAGGTATTACGATATGGGGCCTTTGGAAGGTGATTAAGTCATCAATAGGAGCCCTCATGCGTGGAATTAGTGACCTTATAAAAGAGGTATCTCTTTTTCCTCCTTAGCCCTTCTGTCAGGTGAGGACACAGCAAGAGGCATCATGATCCCTCACCAGACAACAAATCTGCCAGCGCCTTGATCTTGGACTTCTCAGCCTCAAGAACTGTGAGTAATAAACTTCTGTTATTTATAAGTTATGCAGTCTCAGGTATTTTGTTATAGCAGTACAATCAGACTAAGACAGAAATTAATACCAAGTAGGATGCTGCTGTAAGAAATTCCAAAGAAACCCCAACTGAAAGCACCTTCCAAACTGGTTAATGGGAAAAGGCTGGAAGAGTTTGGAAATATATGCTTTAAAAAGCCTACCTCAGCCGGGCTCGGAGGCTCAGCCTGTAATCCCGCGCCTTTGGGAGGCTGAGGTGAGTGGATTGCCTGAGCCCACGGGTTCGAGACCCGCCTGGGCAGCGAGACCTCATCTCTACAGTAAATCAAAAAATCAGCCTGGCGTGGCAGTGCATGCCTGTAATTCTGGCTACTTGGAATGCTGAAGTGGAAGGATTGCCGGAGCCCAGCAGTTTGAGGCTGTGGTGGCTGGGAGCGGCCACTGCACTCCAGTCTGGGCGACAGAGTGAGACTCTAACTCAAAAAAAAAAAAAAAAAAAGCCTACCTCGCCATGCATATAGCATTACGGATGACTCTGGTGAGGGTTCAGAAAAGGAGAGCCATAAAGAGAGAATTAATTTTCTTAGAGATTATCTAAGTGATCATGATCAGACCACTGGAAGAATATGGACAGTAAATGTAATCCTGTTGAGATTGGAGATGGAAATGAGAAATAACTTACTGGAAACTGAAGGAGAGACCTTATTACAAAGTGGCAAAGAACTTGACTGAATTGTATCAGAGTACTTTGTGAAAGGCAGAAGTTAAGAGTGATGAACCAGGATATCAGGTGGAATAAAAAATCTCTAAGCAAAGTATTCAGGGCTGTCTGGTTTCTCTTGAATGCTTATAGTAAAATGTGAGAAGAGAAAAATTAATTAAAAATGAAATTCATAATAAAAAGAAACGCAGAATTTAAAGACTTGGAAAATTCTTAATCACTAAGGGTACAGACAACCAAGCATTTAATAAGAAGATTCTTATGAATAGAAAGAAGTCAGATGTTATTCATCAGGACAATAGAAGGGTGACCTTGAAGGTACTTCTGAGACCTTTGTGACTGCCTCACTCCACCCATCACAGGCTCGGAAGGCCAGCGCCTTGAAAACAGAACAGTTTCAAGATATGAGTCTAAAGTGCCTGCAGGACTTCAGGGTTTGCTGTCCAGGGCCACCACCTAGAATCTCTACTCCCCACTCTGCCACCCTAGCTTTGATTTAAGCAGGACCAGACACAACTTAGGACACTGCTTTGGAGGGCACAAGTTGTAAACCATGGCAGCATTCACATGGTGCTAACTCGGCAGGAGCTATGGAAGCATGGCTTCTCCACCTAGATTTCAACTGATACCTTGAAGCGTCGTGGAGACTAAGCAGAGAACTGCTATGGGGGCAGGGTCACTGCAGAGAACCCCCATTAGGGCAATGTCTAGTGGCTGGTATCCTAGACCTATAGAGCCACCAGTATGCAAAGGCAGCCTGGGAAAGCCACAGGCACCTGACTTCAATCTCTTCGAGCTGCTTCCATGGAGACAGTGCTATCTGGGCCCAAACTCCATTCTGGTACATCCAGAAGGTAGGACATGAAGTCAAAGAAGATTATCCTCAACTTTCAAGATTTCATGTTGTTTGCTGTATTTGTTTTTGAACTTTTTCATTGGCTACCTCTTTTTTCTTTCCTCTCTTTTTTGGAATAAAATGTCTATCTTATGCCATTGTATTGTGGAAGCACATCACTTATTTGATTTCATAGTTCACAGCTGGAGCCTCAGGGTGAATTATACCTCGAGTCTACCCTCTAGATGAGGTAGACGAGACATTCGACTTTTGAGTTGGTGCTGGAATGAGTTAAGACTGTGGGGACTATTAGGATATAATGAATATATTTTGCTTGTGAGAAGGACCTACATTTTGGGGGCTTAGGGGTGAAATGCTGTGGTCTGAATATATCACCCCAAAATTCATACGTTAAACACCAGTGCAATGGTACTAGGTGGAACCTTTAGGAGGTAATTCAGTCATAAGAGTAGAGCCCTAATAAATGGGATTAGTGATATTTTAAAAAGAGGTAAAATGGAGAATTTATCCCTTTTTGCCCTTTTCCATGTGGGGACATAGCAAGAGATACCATTTTTGGAGCAGAGCGCCTTCACCAGACAATAAATCTGCTGATACCTTCATCTTGGACTTCCTGCAGAACATGAGAAATAAAGCTCTATCATTTATAAATTACCCAGACTGTGGTATTTTGTTATAATAGTAGGAGTGAACTAAGAAACAGAGATGGTGGGGGCGGGGGCAGGCTGTTTGTTTTCTCCTCAGTATGGTTTTTAAAAGGATTTATTGTTAAACATTTTAGAAACCACTTTGTAGCTCTGAAGTTACTCTACATTTTTCTGGCCACAGTCCATGGAGATCAAGCTTTATTGTTGGGTCATGGCTTTCCCAGATACCTTTACAAATTCTTCTCACAATGAGCCGAGGTTGCAGCAACTAGCCATTTGCTGTGCTTAACCTAAAGCAAAGTCTTTGTCAACTACCAGAATGTAGGGTCACTGCTACCCATGATCTGATAAGTAACCATTTGACATGAGAGCTTGCAGTGTATAGGTTAGTGAGCTCAACAATGAGAGAACATGTCATGAAACTTTCTTCCAACTCTGGTTGATTACGAGATGCCAGGAGCACATGAGGGAGAAAAAGTCCCCTCCTCTCAGCAATACTGCTCATGTACACCGTTCGCTCAGATAGGCCCTAGAAGTATCTGGGTTACCCCTAAAGCGTGCTAACAACACAAAACCATTCTTCAAGACAGACATAGCTAGCGGTTTCACTTTTCCAGTTCATTCACTTATGCCATCATCAGAAAGATCTATAAGGAGCATGGACTGGAATGCTGATAAAACCAGAAGCCACTGTTAGGTCAAATTCAGGTGATGGCTGTGTGACCATAACAACAGTTAGGCCTGAGCTGGTCAGTCTGAAGAAATATAGTCTCCATTAGCAAACACCTCAAGTCACCAAGATGGTTTATTTTCTTTTTCTTTTCCCTTTCCCTCCCCTCACCCCTCTTCTTCCCTGTTCAGAGGTCCACAAGGAAGGCTTGGGAATGTATACCTTAGCTCTGGTCATCTGTTCAACACGGGTCAGGAGATCATTCACTTCTAGCTGCAAGTCATTCTTGTCTTTTTCCAGTTTCTGCTTGACCTGTTGTAGGTTTTCTATCTGGCTCTCCAGCTTTGCCAGCCTCTCTGCATGTCTCTTCTTCAAAGATGCAGAAGTTGCCTCAAAATGCAATGTGGCCTCTTCCATGTCTCGGTGAAGCTTCTGGAATTTTGTTTCCTGTTTCTTAGTTATTTCCAGCTGAGCCAAACTGGCCCCTCCTACCTCCTCCAGCCTCTCATTCAAGTCTGCCAGGTCTTGGGTGAGGTTAGCTCTCTCCCTTTCCATCTTGGCTCGAGTGGTTCTTTCAGCTTCCAGTTTCTCCTTCAAATTCTGTATCTGAGTCTGTAGTGATAAATAATTTTGACTTTTACTAAGCACTTGCAGCACATTTTATATTCAAGAGCTTTACTCTCCTTTTTCTTTTTCCTTTCTTACAACTAAGGAAGCTAACATGACTTTTGGTTCCCAATTTATGACTAAAGAAAACAAAATACACAGAAGTTAAGTGATTTGCCCCAGATCAGTACCAGGGCCAGAATCAGAATTTACAGTTTTTCTAGAGCTCTCAGACCTTGATGATGGGAAAGTTCATTAAATTATAAACATGGAGGTGAAAACTTAGTAAAGAACACTTCTCAAAGAGATGGAAACATATCTTTCATATGACAAAAAAATGTTTAAGAGAGTTTATTTATTTTTATTTTTATTTTTTTGTTGAGTTGGAGTCTCACTCTGTCGCCCAGACTGGAGTGCAGTGGCTGCTTCCGGCCACCGCAGCCTCACCTGCTGGGCTCCGGCGATCCTTCCGCCTCAGCCTTCCAAGTAGCCGGAATTACAGGTGCGTGCTACCACACCCAGCTAATTTTTTGATTTATTGTAGAGATGAGGTCTCGCTACCCAGGCGGGTCTCGAACCCGCGGGCTCAGGCAATCCACTCACCTCAGCCTCCCAAAGGCGCAGGATTACAGGCTGAGCCACCGAGCCCAGCTGAGAGTTTATTTTTTTAAAGCCTGATAAATTTTATATACAAAATCTTCCTTGTCTGAAATGTACTTACCTCATCTCAACTATCTGGAACCTGGGTAAAAATTCTATCAGTAAAATGAACATCTCCAAGTTCAAGCAATTTACTCATAAGAAATAACATCAGTTTAATTTTACACACAATGCTAACAAACTTGGTTACCAGGCTTTCAAGTCTGCAGGAGATTTCAAGTAGTAGAAAATTTGAAGTATCAAATTAGAATCAGTGAGGAAATGGGTCTACTAAAGTGAATAGTAATCTGTTACCATCAAAGGCAGGATTATTAGAAAAATAAGTGAAAAGAACTCTGAGTTCCAAGCCCTTTTAGTATAGGTCAAATAGCTCTAAAAATCTTGATAGTATCGATAGTATCATTGTATGGTGAAGACATTGATATTTAATAACATGACCTAGAGTCATTAGGCATAGATTAGGATGGGAAGAAGAAAGAATAGAATCTATTTTAGAATATGTTTTCCTTTCGACTAAATAAGAGTAACATAGCTTAGAGAAAGCTGATTTCTACATCACACCAAATAAGTAATCTACCAGTTCTGTAGATGATATGTGACAGAGAAGATGCAACAGGGTGGGGGAGGGAGGAAAGAAGGAAGAGAAAAATGTCCACATTCCAATAAACAGAATCCCCTTCCAATAGTTATCATGGGATCTAATACATTATCCCAAACAGTAACTGTCATTAAACCAAATATTTCTTCAGAAATAATCTTCAGATAACGTTTTGAAGCCATCAAGTTAAGATAAGAAAGTTTGTCTTTTGGATAAGTTGACAAAAATGTTTTTTAATTTTGGATAAAGTCAAGAATCCTTTGAAGACAAGCCCAGAGAATATGATAATTACTAGGAGATGAATATTATGTCTGAAAAATAAAGCATGTTCACAAAGCAGTGAGACTTGTTTTCTTGTTTGGATCAAAATATCTTAGAAGATAAGAACGTGGTTTCAAAATTGTTTTGAGTAATGGTTACTGAGATATTTATTTAGCTCCCAAGGGAAAATATCCATCTGAACACGTGTGTGCGTATGCAAAATTACAACACAGTCGTATAATATAAAATACTCACAGGGTCTAAAACTTATAAATAGCCATCCATTATCAAATAATGCTTTGGGGCTACAAGCAGTTATAGAATGTACTGATTTTCAGCTTAATTACCTTTTAATCACAAAGAATAATCATCACAAAAATTAAATTGCTAACACAATGCGTACAATAGGTCAGGCACTGTGTTGACCACGTAAATGTACTATTGCATTTAATGATATTAGCTCAAAGGCTGTCAGGAGGATTAATGAGTTGGGGGAAAAAAGTACATGTCAAGGGTTTTAGCACAATGCCTGTTTCACAGCAAGCATTCAATAAATTAGCTACTTAGTTTTATTACCCTCATGACAACAAAGTTTAAGTTTAAAAAGTAATTTTCCCCAGGGTCACACATCTGTGGAATTCTAAAATTTACTTTCTTAACCAACACTCTTTTCTGCCTCTGTCAATGGTTGGCTAAGAATATGAATGTATTGGCAGAGAATGTTATCGAAGCACCAATGTGTGGTGACCCATGGATCTAAATATAGGTACAAAGAAGTATTTGGTAGCTGATTACCTGCAGCTTCTTAATTGTCTTCTGAAGCTGAGCCACCAGGCCTTTCTCACTTTCCATCTTTGAATTCATCTGACTTATTTCGAATTCTTTCCTGTTTAGAAAAAGACATCAAATTAACTGTTTAGAATAACACACTTTGCTTCAAATTGCTAGAAGAGAAGGGTTGTGATGTTCCCAGCACAAAGATAAATGTTTGATGTGATAGATCTTCCAGTTACTCTAATTGGATCATTACACATTGTATACTGATATCAAAATATCACATGCACTCCCAAAATATTTACAACTATTATACATCAAGTAAGAAATAGAAGAAACTACAATTAGGCCTTGACTCCACCCGAATTAATTTTTAAAAATAATATTTTGTTTAAATATTTTTAAATTATAGAAATAACACATGAATTCATAACAGTCGTAATGTGGCTTTTTGTGTATTGAGATGTTTATAACAGTGGAAGATAGTTTCTGTAACAATTCAACGATTACATCTACAACTGAAGTTGTCTTGGCTATAACTCCCAATCCCCGTTTTCCCCCTATAGGGAATTACCATTATTCGCTTAATGTGAATCTTTCCAGACATTTTGCTAAGTGCTGACATATGTTTATGTTTATGAGTGTGCATGTAGCTTAGGAATCGTTTCATTTTCTTTCGTGTGAAAGGTACAATACCATATACATTTGCAAGAAGAGATCAATTATTAGTCTTAATTCAATAATACATTGAAATTTTTTCTATGCTGGCTCACACAGAGCTCTTCATTAAAAAATTAACAATGATGTGGTATTCCACCATTTAGATTCCACTGTTTGTAAATTTCCTATTAATAAGCACTTAAAATTTTCTTAATATTTTGCTTTTACAAATAACACTCTTCATATACATGCCCTTTGTGTACATCAGAGTGTTTTTCTGGAGTGGATACTGAGCAGAAAATTGCTGGGTAATGTATAGGCACGTGCTTTAAAACACCTAATAGCCTGGCCTTTGCTCTCCAGTAACGGTGTGAGATCATAACTTCTCTCCATTTACCGTTAGTATCTTATGCCTACTAGTAATGACAGTGTCTTGTCAACTATTAGTCTTGTTAAATGGCCAATAAACCAAAAATGCCCATTTGTGTCCTTTGTCCATTATTCTATTAGGTTGTTTGTCTAATTATTGAATTACATAAATTTTCTTTTAACATTATTGATATTTATTTTTATATTTGTTGCAAATATTTCTCTGACTTTAGAACTTACCTCAACTTTATATTGACTTTTGCCACATATGTTTACAAATTTGATGTAATCAAATTTAATCAACATATTCCCTTTATGTCTTTGGTTTTTTTGTGACTTGTTCAAGACGACTTAGTCTCTCAACATCCTAAGAATTATCACCTATGTTTTCTCCTAATTTCTTAAAATCACGGTATGAACACTTAACACGAGACCTTTAATAACTTTTTTAGTGTAAAATTCAATATTGTTAACTGTAGGCACAATGTTGTGAAGCAGAGCTCCAAGACTTAAACATCTTGCATAACTGAAACTTTATACCCATCAAAGAGCAACTCACTGTTTTCCCCTGCTCTCAACCTCTGGCAACCACTATTCTCTGAGTTTCTTTCTAAGTTTGATTATTTTAGATACCTCATATCAGTGGAGCCATGTAATCTTTTGTCCTTATTTCACTGAATATAAAGTCCTAAAGATTAATCCATGTTGTTGCACATGGTAGAAGTTCCTTCTTTTTTTAAGGCTGAATGACATATCATTGCATGTATATACCACATATTCTTTATTCATTTATAAAACAATGGATATTTAAGTTGTTTCCACATATGTGCAATGTTGCAACATCTAATGGTTTCATAGCTTTGTTTTTGCACTGAACTCTTTAACACAAATTTTGCGTGTATGAATACTGTGATGTAGGAATTTAACTTTTACCTCAGGAAATGAATAGCTAATCATTTCAGTACTATCCTGTCATCGCTAATTTGAAATGCCACCTTTACCATGTATTAAGTTTCAAAAGCACATAGTTCCATTTAAAGAAAAGTCTTTGCAATAAAGTCACAACTTCCTAGAGATACTGATTTCTAAAATGCTGAAACACTTAGGTCTACAGACATAGAGTATCATTTTCACCTTGCTGAGCTGAAACACAATCTTTAAAATTGAATGCGAAGGGAACTCTATCACCATTTTACCTTACACCATCCCATTCCATTTATAAGCTCACGTATTTCATCTTTTTGAAACAACTATTAAGTTTGGTAACTCATTAGCAGAATATTAATCCTGCCTCACCAAGAGCATGTACAATGACAACACAGGTACACTAACAAAAGAGGCAGAAGCCCATAGTTGGTCACTTGACTCTCTTCTCTTTTTGACTGTGGGCCCCAACTAATGATATGTTACTGGTTTTGCTTCAGATTTTATGGTTTAATATTTATGGAGTAAGTCATTTGATCAAAAAACCTAGGTAAATATTAATGAAGTTATGTCTGGCAAACAAATATTATTTAAGCGATTAGAGGGTATGTCAGTCTTCACATCATGATCAATTTTTTTCCTTTTTTACATATTATGACATTGGTTTCATGAATAAAAGCAGTGAGCCATTTTAATTTTTTTACCTGTAGCCACAAATTCCCAACAATTCACATTCTTTTATGCCCTATCCCTTTTATTCTCATCTGCCAGTCAGATACCTGCTTAGTTATACCCTTCTAGATTATGCATTTACTCTTGTTTTACAATTATATAATAAAGTCTAGCAGTGAAAAAAATCTGTTTCCGAGGCTTGCTACCTTGCTGTAGGTCTTGAGCTATCTGACCCTGAAGTCCTGAAGATAAATGAAATGAGAGAGCTGTTCCCGCCAGTCTAAGGTCTCCCCAAATCTCACGTCAACGGAAGGTAGCTTACTTCCTCAAAGCTTCTGCTTGCTGAAGCTGGCTTCTCTCCCTGTCCTCCATATTCTCCTGGTTCAGCTTGAACTCGCCCTCCAGTTTGTGCACCTCCCTCTCACAGTTCATCCTTGCTCTTCTCTCCTGTTCAAGGGCACCCTCAAGCTGACAAAAGGAGATATTATTTAGCAAATAAATAGGTAGAGTTTATACTTCACCCGTTGTGTTCCTTATCCACTTACCTTCTGGAAAAAGAAAGAAGATACAAGCACAGACTCGGTAAATGAATTCCAGTTCCAGAGATACTTCAAAATAAATACTGCATGCATCAATAGGTTAATGAAAGAATCTAGAAATCACAGTGATGGAAGAAAACTTTAGAGATTACAGAATATAAGCTCTGTCTTAGGGAAGGAACCAACAATAAATGGCCAGTGAGCCCTTGATTGATCGCTTTCCAGTGATAGGAAGCTCACTTCTTCACATGGCAGCTCATTTCACGGGTGGATAAGTCCATTTACTCGGGAGTGCTTCTTCATAAGAAGTCAAAATATTCCCTGTAAATTCCACCCGCGAGTACAAGCTCTGCTCCCTGGAGCAGCACCAAGCAAATCTGTCGCCACATGATCATCCATGAATATTTGGCAGACCTCCTAGGCATGACTGGTCCTTTCAAACATATCTTACATGGCACTGCATGATTTCCATGCCCCCTTCACCACCCTGGTACCCTCCTCTAGTCTATGATGTAACGTCATGTCCTTGTTTCCCATCAAGCAGGTCAGAACATTCTAGATTCATCTGGATTAGTATTACCAACAATGACAAAGAGGTTAGTTTACCAGGAAACTAGATAATAGTCATAATATGGCTTTTTGTGTATTGAGATGTTTATAACAGTGGAAGATAGTTTCTGTAACCACCCAAAGATGTAAAATTCACATTGGGAGGGAGAGAAAATCCCTGGGAGGTACGTATGTAAAACCCTGAAAGTAGATGAACACTGGGAGATAAAGACTGAACATTCATCTCTCCCCAAAATTCACAGGTTGAAATCCTAATCCAAATGTGATGGTGTTGGGAGGTAGGGCCCGTAGGAAGTGATTAGGTCATGAAAGTGGAGCTCTTATGAATGGGATTTGTCCTTATAGAAGAGACCTGAGAGAGTTCCCTTGCCTCTTCTGCCATGTGAGGACACAGTGAGAAGGTGCCCTCCAGAACCAGGAAATGGGCCCTCACCAGACACAGAGTCTGTTGGCACTTCGATCATGGATGCCTCAGCTCCCAGAACTGTGAGCAATACATTTCTGTTGTTTATTTGTGAAACAAGTTATAGTATTTGTTATAATAGTCTATATGGACTAGAAGGCATCAGGAGAGAACAAGTATGGCAGAGAGTGTATGTGTGTGTGTGTCCTGCACCTGCACATATATAAACACTTTGTAACTCCTTATATTGAGGCTTTGTGAGATATGCAATTAGTCGAAATAGGGAGAAATGTAGCATAACAGGTAGTAGAAGAAAATGATAGAGAGGCAAAAGGAAAAAGAAGCATATAATCAAAAAAACCCAACCACTTTTGTCAGCAATTGTATAAAGGCTAAGCTTTGGGGACCAATGAGAGCATAAATGCATACAAAATGTCAGCTGGGATGGGAAAAAGGAAGAATTATGAACCTACATATTGAGACTGATCTGAAACATCTTTACTTCTCAAGGTGTTTAGAGGCAGGACAGGGGCATCATTTTTAGAATCGTACAAATATTTTCCAATAGTAAGTAGAACACAGTTTGTGACTTACACATCTTTCAACTATAGATGATCTCAGCACACCACTGGAGACACAACTGGCCTTTAAAATTATTTGACACTGGAAGTGAAGGATTAGAGTACCAGCCTATCTGTGGGGCAAAATACTAGGTTCTGTGGGAGCTATGGAGAAAAGTCAGTCACCTCAAGTGGTAAGTCTTTACTATTTATCTTCATGTTCTTCTCCCACTGTCCAGGGTTGAATGAAAGTTGCATTTAAAAACAGACTGATTACGTGCTGGGGCATCTCTTATACTGGAGCGTAGGGGTTCCCAACTCCCAGTCTGCAGACCCAGTCCATGGCCTGCTAGGAACCAGCCACACAGCAGGAGGTAAGTGGCAGGCAAGTGAAATCCACCTCCTGTCAGATCAGCAGTGGCATTAGATTCTCTTAGGAGCGAGAATCCTGTTGTGAACTGCATGTGCAAGGGTTCCAGGTTGTGAACTCCTTATGAGAACCTAATGAGTGATAATCCCTCTTAACTCCCCCACCCCCATCTGTGGAAAAATTCTGTTGCCAGTCCCTGATGCTAAAAAGGTTGGGGACCACTGCTGGAGTGGCTCAGGGTATGCCAAGAAAAAAAAAAATCTATTTCTCAATAACAAGGGAAACAAACTACTATGCTGCTAAGTTTTCCAGAAGTTGTCAAGACCAACTAAGAAGCAGAGGTCTGTTTATATATGCAGACAGAGAGCTCACTGGCCAGATGTATCTCGACTGACCTCATCAACTCGCCGTTCCAGTTTCAGGTTTGCTTTGCTGAGGTCACGGAGCTTCTCCTCCTCCATGTGCAGGTCATCCAGGGCCTGCTGATGGGCCTCCTGCACCGACTTGCCTGCTCTGTTAAGTTTGCTGATCTCCTCATTTAGAAACTCCACTTCCTCAGTCAGGTTCTTGACCTGCGGGAAGGTGACGATGACAGCTTCATTAAAGCCACCACTGCAAAGCTGGATATACATAAAGGGTCACCTTGTCTCCTTTGTAGTCCAAAAAACTCACGGGGTAGCCAGTGTCATAAAGAGCCACATTTTGCCAAACTCCCAATATACTTTTTAAAACTCCAAATTCACCTTTTCTTCTACAAAAACGATCTGTTGTCTGGCATGATCAGGAAATGGGGTATTCTGGTTAATCAAATATCGTTAATATAGCTCATTGAAGGGCCAATTCATTTCACTTTGTTATGTAACAATAACAACACTAATGGGAATTTAGCTTTCTCTTGAGGATTAAGCAGGAATATACTGATCATGTTGTGCCTCAGTGTACCAAAAAAGGGGAAGTTAGAGAAGGGTTCCAGCTGACAGAATATGCAATCATGGAAGCTGGCTATATCAGGTCCACGTGCTTTTTATGACAGAGAATCAATAGAAATAAGAGCTGCTACCTAATCGTCTGCCAAAATTATGGTGTCACTTTGGAGACTAGATGTTTACCAGAGGTTTGATGCGGACTCCTCACTGTCCTCAGTCCACACATAAATGCGCAAGTTAAAACCCCCAAGTAGAACAAACAAAACACCAAAGTCCTCAGCTGGAATTAAAGCGACATCTTCAAAGTCAAACTCCAAATCAATGGTAGCACCGGGGATTCCGGCACATCCCAAATCATCTTTTAGAAAACCACATCATGCTCACACTCCTTCCAAAAAGGACATTTAGATGTGAAACCATTTTGCTCTATTAGCATTCAGGTGCAATAAGATTGGGACAAATGAAAACGTTTCATTTGGGAGATTAAGTCGGGTTCCATAAATTCGAATTGGAAATTTGAATCGAGACAGCACAGTTTATCAGAACCTTTATTTGATGCCAGTTCTGGCTCTCAATGCCGTAAAGTTGCAGGCCACTGTGTTAATTAACCTAAACATGGCAAGTCTGGTCCTGCAGCCCGATTCGAGAGCGGCATTCCAGCAGCCAGGCCTTCCCAACATCAGGGGGAAAAGTACCTTGTGCTCTGTAGCACGCTTCTCCTTCTCTGCCTTTGCCAATATTGTTTCCAGGTCATCGATTTCTTTCTTCAACTCAGAACATTCGTCTTCGAGTTTCCGCCCCCTGGCAGTCAGCTCAGAATTTATCCCCTCTTCTTCCTCCACCCGCCTGGACAGCTCCGTTACTCTGGCCTCCAGCTGGATCTTGGATTTAATCAGCAACTCGCACTGCTCTTCAACATTCGCCAGGGTCTCCTGCTCCTGCCATGATGAGGAGAAAATTGTTGCCAACAGCTGGAAGTAATTTATCAGCTAGGCGAAAATGCTGCTTAACACATAGCAAAGAGATAATTGCCTGCCCTCTGCCCAGCACGTTCACCTACCTTTCCTAAGCAGCTGAAATAATATTCCCAGGTCCCTGATCCTATTGCTGAGAAGTGAAGAAGCTGCTTGTGTTTGGAGGGGCTTTTGATCACTCAGGCCCATTCAGTAGATTAGATTACCTCTTCTAAAGCACTTAATAGAATCCTGGTGGCCTGAAGGAGCTAACGTGCCTCCAAAAGTCAGTGGCGTGCTGCTTAAATCACAGCTTCTAGAAGCATCCATGTGGGCACAGAGTCTGAGGTTGATAACTGCTCAGAATATGGTCTTTTAAGAAGGCAGTGTTCCCTCAGACACCAGGATATTGCATCAAAACATGGTTATAAGTGCGTCGATGTACTTGTTTAATATATATATCTCATAATAAATTGAGCTGAGCAATGTTTTTATTCATAGGTTGAATTTAGAATTCATAAGTTTACTTGCAAATCAGCAACTAGATTTCACCGTTATTTCCAACCAAAATTTTTGCCTCAGTGATTCTGCCAGCAGTAAATTCCACAAGTTTCACACACACAATAAAATACCCTTTCCTTTAGCTTTTCACATGCACTGCCTCCAACTCTTACTGAATGACCCATTGTTTCTATGTTATGGGCCAAGTAAAAGATAAAGGCACATCTTACTAGAGCACTGTTCATAATTTTAAATCCCTCTAATTTGTCTTCTTTAGAGGGCAAATAAAACCTCTTCTTCATGAGCAAGCTCTCAATTGCTGGAGGCCTCATTGCAATGTAAGTTCACACACATCTTCATCTTCCATCTCCAGACCTCATTCATCCTCCACCATGTGCCAGTTTGGGCAACTGATTAACTATCCTTCTGCCTCACTTAAGCAATGTTAGCTATAGGCCTCTGGGCAACTCCTGGCTAGAGAATGACTGCCTATCCAGCAAATGGGGCTCAGAGAGACACAGGTGGGGACAGGTATAGATTAGTAAATTTCCAACTTCACAGAAGACCAAAAAAGAGGGGCTAAATAAAAATAAATATCAAGACATTTAGGAAGGGTTCATGCAAATTAGAGAAGCTTCTGCTGCATGGGAAATAACTGGGGACATTTGATCTTAGTTCACCCCAGGTTGACAAGCAGAACAGTTGTTTACCACATTCTATTCAGCATGTATTCAGGACCTGTCACCATCACCAAATGAAGAGGACAGTCCAATCGACCATCATTGATCCCTTCATTAAACATGACAGTAGGATTCAGGGGCCAGCTGAGCAATGGTATGGCAGTTTAACAGTAGAAAGACCCTTTCCCCAATGGCAGTTATTGTCTCACTCACAATGTTAATTGAAATGGGTCTACTCAGTCCTGCTGGAATTTTGACTCAGTGAAAGACTTCAAAAGAACTCTTGTTTCTTTTGTTGCTGTTGTGTTTAGCTGTGTCCCTTAAAAATAAATTTTAATAAAAGCTTTCATAGTTCTGTCAACTTCTTAATCAAAGTTAAAATTTGAACTCATCACAGTCTTTCTGGGTTTGCCCTGAAATTTGCTTCCATGTGTTCCCCAAGTTCTCCACAATGATATCTCTCTCTCTCTCTCTCTCTCTCTCTCTCTTTTAGAAAGCAGGATTTATTGAGAACACAGAAAAACTCCCACAGTGGGAGGGGACCCAAAGGGGTTGCCCTCCATAATGATCTTTAACATGTATTTCAAGCTTTTATCTACCACGCTCTACACAAGTTGGGTCCATTTCTCTCTCTCACATCACCCAGGTAGCACTGGCTAATCTCCATCAACAAGAAGAATGATGGAAACTGGAAGGTCAAGTCTCATCCAAAGAAATCTCTTCCCTAAGCCAAATATGTTACAAACCGTGATTCTCACAGTCTCTTAAAGTAGGTTTGGAACGGGGCCCAGGAACTTGTAGTTTTAACAAGCAGACCAGGTAAGATTGGTATACAGTGACATTCCAGAGTCATTGCTATGTAAAATATGTATCAGTAATGTGGGTTTCGGTGTAAAGTCTTATGTCAACTGTGGCCTGTTGGCACACTGGCAGACAGCACAACTCCCAAATAAAATAATAACTTGGGTCAGTTTTTAAAGTATTAAATTTTCTCTGTTTTCAGTAAGCTTTTAAAAAGGAAAAGAAAAGAAAAACTGTTGTTTCTTGCTTTAAAACAAGCAAAAATTGTGTTTCAACCCAGGATTTTCAATTTAGCCCTCAGCTAAGAGAGGACAAGAGTATCATACAGGTGGTGGAAAAATCTCATCCCTGCCCTTTGGAATATTTTAGGATCACAATAGTTCAGGTGGCCAAGGAGGAGGATCATGCAAGAGAGTAATGGCACATTAGAATCAGATTGGAGACAGAGGTTTGAATGATAGAACTAAGGGTTTGGAGTCTAATATGTACATATTGTAGGATTAGATCCTACAATATGTACATATTAGACTCCAAAAGCAATATGACGTCTTTTTTAAGACAATGGAAAGCAAAATGATGTCTTTTTTAAGACAATGGTTCTTATTCCTGATTGGATAACAGTATCGCCCGTGCAGATTCTTTTGAAGTATCTGAGAATGAGATCCAGGCCTCTTTTTATTTTTTAATGTTTCACAAAAGAATTTGATACAAAATAAGGTGGAGAACTGTTTTAAGAACTCAACTCATTCGAAATGTTGATTTAAGCTGGGGAAGGGAAAGTAGAAAATCAGGAAACCCAGTAGGAGTACCCTGAAATATTTCTGAGATCTCAGTCGAGCTTTTCTCAGGACCTATTACAATCCTGTCTGCTGATTTTATGATGGGTTGTGGGCTACATCCAAACTTTAAATGAAGACCCAGAGCTTTCTGAACTCCATGGTAGATTAAGGTGATATATAGTAAAAACCCATCTGATCATTTGTTTCTTTTTCAAAGACATCCCACCAATGAAATCATTTTACTAGGAAACATAGTGTCTCTTTAAGTGTTCCTATTGTCTGTGTTTTATAAAAGCCTATGGGATTTGAAAAGCAAGTGCATTTTTTTTTTTTCCTAAGTCAACACTGCCTGCAAAACAAGAGCGTCTAATTAAGAACTTGATTTAAAGAAAAAATGGTGGGGCCACTCACAGCCTGCAGCTGAAAAAGCAGGTCATTTTTTTCCTGAATGAGGGAGACTTGCTTTGCTTCCAGTTCCTCCCTCTGAGAATCTGACTTCTCCAAGGCTTTCCGCAGTTGTACACACTCTCCCGTCGGTCCAGCCATCTCTTCTCCCACTCCTTCAGATTTAACAAGAGACTTGATCTTGAAGAAAAGCCTCATCCAAGGCCGGTTCTTCACCGCCATGAAAGCTCTTATGTTCCATTGGATCAAAAGAAGTGCATCCCTGAAACGAAAAAAGAAAAACAAGTTAGCCTAGGCTATAACTATTTTCTGAATTAAGATCCTGAATAAACACATCTTCTTAGGAGTCATCATAAATTCTCATTAGTCTTCAAAGCACTTCTATATCTGGAGTCTCTTTTGATTCTGACAAAATCCCTCCAGGAAATATCTGGGGCTAGCAATGTTGTGGACTAAATGTCCTGAAAATGTTCCTACCACAAACATCCTTTAAATGAAAGTTGAACCTGAAAGAAAGAAATACAGAAGGCAGGCCAGGCACGGTGGCTCACACCTGTAATCCCAGTACTTTGTGAGGCTAAGGTGGGAGTATTGCATGAGCCCAAGAGTTTGAGACCAGTCTGGGTATCATAGCAAGACTTTGTCTTTACAAAAAAATCAAAAAATTAGCCAGGCATGATGGCATGATGGCATGTGCCTAGAGTCCCAGCTACTAGGGAGGCTGACATGGAAGGATCACCTAAGCCTAGGAGGTCAAGGCTGCGGGGGGCCTGAGAGACAGAGTGAGATGCCCTGACTCAAAGAGAGAGAGAGAGAGAGAAGAAAAATACAGAGACCACTAAAAACCTGAGCAATCAGTGAATACATGCATAGATTCATAGCTTGTTCATCTTCATGGAAGGAGGAAGCCAGTCTTGGTACTGTATGGGTTTGTATTTTCATATTCACATGGATAAAGAAGCAAGGCAGAGTCCTTCAAAGAATTTTACCCTTAATAAAGAGGAAGACTAAAACTCTACCCACCAGCAAAGAGAGCTATTGAAGAAAAGTACATCTGATTTGGTCTGGATGAAAAAACAATCCTACTCCAGAAAATATTTTAATGACAGTTCAGAGCCACTGAAGTAATTGAGGTTTGAATTATACTACCTGATTATTACAGAAACATCCAATAAATTAGTATAATGATTTTTACAGATAATAAATATACTTTGGACCCTTGAGATAAAAACAAGCACCAGAAATTCTCTTAGATAAAGCTTCCTAAAGAAGTGTTTACAATCAAAAATTATAAAACACATATAGAAAAAAACCAACTATTGGTAAGGTGAGCATGTATAATAAAAATTTAATTAAAACCCCAAGAATTTTAGATAACTGAACAATCTGATTAAGACTATAAAAAATTATATTAAGATTATTAAAAACATAAAGAAATTTTAAAATGACAAAATCAACCACTATGATAAAAGGACACACAGTTTTGAAAGAAGACCAAATAAAATATCTAAAATGGAAAAATATAGTAATTAAAATCAAACATTCAATGAAAGAGTTAACCACCTAATTAGACATACAGAAACAGACAAACAAAAAAACTAGTAAGTGAAAAAAAAGGAGTAACCCTGCAGCAGCCCCAAGCTTCACTATGGCCCTCACAGCTCCAGGTTCCAATCTGCCCCAGTACCAGTCCAAAGATGCAGCCCAGACTACAGGCCTACTTCTGTGGGTTTGGGCTCCAGGCCTACCCCAGCAAACCCAGGCATTAAGCCATCCTCTACAGACCCAGGTTCCAGACCTGTCCTCATAGATTTAGTCAATAAGACTGTTCTAGTAGACATCAGTCTCAGGCTGGTACCCACAAGATCCAGACACAAGATCCAGACATGTCCTCACATATTCAGGTTCCAGGCCCACCACCATGAACTCAGGGACCAAAGCCTGCTCACACAGGTCCAACTTCAAGGCCTTCCCCAGTGCACATAGCCTCCAGGCCCATTTTTGTGAACCCAGGCACTGGAACTGATAGTTCACTGAAACTGACACCAGGTCAGCATGCCCCAGAACTTCAGAAACAATCCCTCCAGGGCGCTCTGCCAAGAATCTCTGGTCGTCAAGCTGACTGGTGAAGAGCTTTCTGTGCTGAAGCCAGTCTATAGAGCCTGAAAGAGGTATCTACTTCTTCAATAGTGGAAACACTACTTCTTCAATAGTGGAAACACCAATACAGGCCACAAGGATTATGAATAATCAGAAAAATAAGACCCCACCAAAGGAATAGAATAAAGCACCATTAACCAACCCTATAGAAATGAGAATCTACAAACACTATACCAGACACAAGAGGGAGAAAGAGAAGAAGAACATAGAAGGACGGGAAAATGGACATCCAGGATGTCTGGTGAAGGTCTTTTCCGGTCAAAGACAATCCACAAAGACAGGGAGGGGAGCTGCTTTTTCCAAATGTGCAGACACTAATGCAAAGCTACAAAAAACAAACAAACAAAAACACACACACAGAAAAATCAGAAATACAGCATAATAGAAAGAGCAAAATAAATCTACAATAGCCCACCCTAAATGGAGATCTATGAATAGTCTGACAAAGAATTCAAAATGATCATTTTAAAGAAGCTTAACGAGCTATAAGAGAACAACTAAACAAAATCAGGAAAATTACATATGAACAAAGTGAGAAGTTGAACAACGAAACAGAAACCATAAAAAAATAGAAATTCTGAAGCTGAAGAGCACAATGACTGAAATGAAGAATTCCATAGGAGGTTTCAACAAGTGCACTTAATCAAGCAGAAGACTCAGTAAGCTCAAAGTAGAGTCATTTGAACTTAAAGGAACAAAGAAAAGGAAAACAAATGAAAAGGAGTGAAGAATTCCTGCAGCATTTACAGGAAACCATGAAGCTCACCAATAAACACATTATGGGAAGCACAGGAGCAGAAAAAGATAAAGGGGCAGTAAGCTAAAGAAATTTAGCTTGAGAAATAATAACAGAAAACTGCAAATATGGAGAGGGCAATGAACATTCAAATTCATAAAGCTCAAAGGACCCTATATAGATAAATAGACTAACTAATAAAGAAATCTTCATCAAGACACATTATAATGAAATTCTCAACAGTCAAAAAATTTTGAATGCAGCAAAACAAAAGCAACTAGTCACATGTAAGGGAACACTCACGAAACTATCAGCACATTTCTCAGCAAAAACTTTACAGACCAGAGAGGTGTGATATAACCAAATTGCTAAAAGAAAAAAAATCAACTGGAAACAGTATGTCCAGCAAGGCAGAAATGAAGGAAAGATAAAGACTTGCACACACAAACAAAAGCTGTGGAGATGTATCTTTACTACTTGCCTTACAAAAATTGCTAAATGGGGTTCTTCAAGTTGAAACAAAAGGACACTAGCTAACCACATGAAAATATAAAACTCACTCTAAAGGTAAGATTATAGTCAAATTCAGAATACTCTAAAACTGTAATGGTAGTGTATAAATCACTTAAACTCTAAAATAAAAGTTAAAATACAAAAGTATAAAAATATATAGTTACAATAACTGATTCATGGATGTACAATATAAAAAGTTATACATTGTGACATAAAATAACATAAAGAATGAGAAGAGCAGTTAACATGAAGAGTTTTCATATGCAGTTGAAGTTAAGCTATTGTCAGTTTAAAATAAGATATTGCTGGCTTAAGATAAACATGTAACTACAAGATGTTTTATGTAAACTTTATGGCAATGACAAAGAAAAATCTGCTAGTAAATAGACAAAAGAAATAAATGCTTGCCATGATAAAATATCATCATTTCATAAAGGATGACAGCAATAAAGGAAAAAAGGAACAAATAAAACCATCAGAAAACAATCAAGCCGGCTTGGTGGCTCAGCCTGTAATCCCACGCCTTTGGGAGGACAAGGTGAGTGGATTGCCTGAGCCCACGGGTTTGAGACCCGCCTGGGCAGGCGAGACCTCACCTCTACAATAAATCAAAAAAATTAACCGGGCGTGGTAGCGTGCGCCTATAGTTCCAGCTACTTGGAAGGCTGAGGCGGAAGGATTGCCGGAGCCCAGCAGGTCGAGGCTGCGGTGGCCGGG